TATGCATATGAACATGCACATGCACCCTAAAGCTCCATTTATGCTCTTTATTTCCCAGCAGTGCTACGCGCTACGCTCCATAAAGGGTTTGTTTGACTTTTACAGCACTCAAGCTGTCATGCGTCATTTGTGGAAAGCTAATTTAGAAAGCCGTTTGGGTTCACAGTTTAGTTGCTGTTGTTACACAACCACTTATCAAATGCAGTGTAGATAGAAATTAGTGTTTATGTACAGTGCTCTTCACAACTAACCCCTCATCTTTTAGAAAAGATGATAATTTGCATTATTAAGTCCAGTCACTGCTCCATATTTTGGTATATGATTCAGGAAGGTAGCAGTCAGTAAGAGCACACATCAGTCGTCTAGCACAACACTTTGCTTAAAGACAAAAACTGTCTACTTAAGGCAAATAAACTAAGAAAAAGCTGGCTTTAAACCTGTTAATGTTGGATTAAAATTTTGTTCATTTCTAGAATAAAACAAGTACCTTGTAAAGTAGAGATATTAATTATGTGCTTAAATAGTTAGCCTATTTAACCAAAAGACGATAAGACAAAGTTCATTGGGTCCCACTTTAAATAGAAAATATTTATTTTCCTTTCTATTTTTTTAACGGAATATCAAAAATCTGGTTCCTCAATTTAGGCTTCTTTAAATCCTATAACTGAAACCATTGAAAATTATAAATCTTAAACTAATTAAAGCAACACTCCACAACTTCTTACCCAAGTGTTTGCTCTAATTCAAGTATAATAAATGATTTTTCAAGTAAATGTATAGCGCTTGGTGCCTATTGATGCTCTGTGTGGACTGCCGTTTAAAAAAAAATGTTTATGTGACATGAGATGGTCGGATCCATCGCTTATTGAGTCATGTGAAGCAGAGCACCGCTTTGTGGCAGTCAGGGCTCCCCTTAAACACAAAAGCAAACTAAGCTAAAGGTTGTTGTTCAATAAAACAGACATGGCCTTTACCTGATCAGACATATCTTTGGTTCTATGATGAAGGATTCATTCGAAAGGTAAGAAGGTGGCCTCGCCTTTAAAAATAACTCAAGGACTTCTCATTCTGTTGGTCCCTAAGAGATCAATCAGATTCCAAAACATGGAGTGAATGAATTTGTGACTATAGCTGTGTTTCTATCGAACTTTTAAAAGTTCGAAAAAAGAAAAAGCAAATTTGTGGTGTTTCCATTTGGTTTAAAGCAAATTAACCAAGCACAGCTAATTTTAATGTCATCATACGTAGTTGTCCACATTACATCCCACATGGCTGTAATGAACAGGAAGTAGACGCTGCAATCTATCGCTGACCACAGATCAGTAACGGAGAAAAGTTTTAATGAATGTGTTGCTGTTGAGCAAACTGATCTTAAAGAGGCATTATGTAAGTTTTTACTAAGAAGAATATCTTAAAAATTGCCCTTTTATTTCATCCTTTACAACTGAGACATTGTTTGATATATACAGTAGACGGACACCTCAGTAGTTCAGTGCTGATGCATCTATAAGCATGTTGCTTATTTTCCTGAATTTACTTTGGGTCGGAAGTTCCTGCACTGTTTTGTAGATGTAACGTCGTGTCATGTCAGGTCCTTTGCGCATCAGCTCTTTTTCTCAAAAGCCAAAAAACACTTCAAGCAAACATGAAAACATTTTTGGGGATTATTCTGATGTGATATTTCAAAATGTGCAATATAAAAAGCAAATGTAATCACACCTAATGTGGGGCCAAAGGTTACACAGAGCTGCTTAAAATAAATATACATTCAACATAAAATCATCAGTTTAGATTTGCTTGATCATTCTAAATATTTTAGAGCATAAGCTAAAGCTCAATATTTAAATTTTTAAACCTTAATATTTATTCCAGACTCTTTGAAAACTGACAGTTAGCCCATTTATGGTATTGATTGGAAGCCATTGAAGCATCTAAACTCTATTTGTCACTCATCTACCTGCTCTTTCATCAAATAGTTGTTCTGGGGATCATGTTAGCAGTCTGTATTAGGCAGCTACATCAACACAACAGGTTCATTCAAGAATGACTTCCAGAACAGAAAAGAAAGAAGAATGGAAGTGGTCAGCAGTAAACTGATCCAGTTTGAAAATGTTAACAAAAATCTTAGCAACACGTGGATGTTTGCAGTGAATCATGGCAAGCCCTAGTCGACAGGATACCATTTGTGTGGCACAGCCTTAGCAGTTGGAACTGGAAATTCCCCAATCACACTTCAGCTCAAATGCATGACTGTTCTTAGATGACAATGAATAATTCAGGACATTGCTTGGTCAGTGTTTAACCCCAATGTGAACCTGCTTGATAATACAGGAGTACTATTTATACCCTCTCTATTGCAGAGCATTTATCCATCCGTGAGTTTCCCATTCTAGCCAAAATGTCTTTAAAGTTTCCACTTGAGAGTAAATGAGCGACTGAGCTTTTTCCATTTATTTGTTCCTCTCTCTGTAAAATATGCCACAGAATCTAAGCAGCTTTTAAACAGCACTCAAAGCGTGGTTGAGATGAAGCAAAATGGAATAAAAGTTTTTTGAAAAAGCCTAAGACAAACCACAGATTCCCTCATGGGAGTAAATTAATTGCCATTTGAGTCCCATAAGCATTATGCACTACAATAACTTAGGAGTTATTTGAAATGTATCCTCTTAAAACAACAAATCCATAAAATAACATTTTTTTAATGTTAACTGAGGATAAAGGCTCACCACAAACAGATAAAAGTAAATCTAAAACGCTGTACTTAAACCCTGCCGGGTAACTGAGTAAATAAAATGCTAAGTTCTTCTTCCTTAATCAAGAATATAATTAATGCATTTAATGTTTTTTTAAACTAAATTATTAATGAAAAATTAACACAAGATGAGAGAAAGCTACTTGAAATCAGCACACAACACAACCAACTCTGAGTTATGTTGCAAGATAATAACATATCTCTTGTCAAATAAATATTTTAAAGATTTTGAAGCACTTAGCAGCCAATTTTACCTCCAAGCATAGTAATAAGTTCATTAAAGGAGATAAAAATGAAGAAAATCCTTTACGTTTACTGCAATAGAGGTGCATTTATGCTCACTAAGTTAGCACACCAACAATCAGTTCCTTTTTTTCCAATCACCGAAAAAAAAAAATATATATATATATATTTTATCAAGAGTGGTTTATTAGGTTTTTCCATCATCAAACAGATGATGAGTTTTGCAATAAACAAAGGATAACATAGTGGAAATGTACCACATTACTACTATAAATTGCAGTGGATGATGTCTGGTGAACAGGTTTTTAATGGGTTCAAGGCATGTTAACGTGAGGTCATCTAAATTCATAAAGGGTTGACAAGACACAAAAATGTTCTCCTACAGTATTCTCAGTCCCTTGGCCTGAATCCCACATCAAACCCATGGAGTGAAGCTGGGGAGAACCACATACTGTACGTATGAGGTAGGACTCTGGAAAATCTAGAGGCTCTGCTAATATTATGTTTTTATATTCTCCAAAGGTGTAAAATATTAAACTAGCAGGCTAAGACTAATTTTACTTTGATTGTTTTCACCCGTTTTCACAGAGGAATTCAATGTGAAGGGGTGCTTGGTCTTTATAACACCTGATTAATTTGTCAAACTGGACTTTTGAGTCTGTCAGTCATCATTTCTGTATCTTGTAACCAACAGGTGTCTGGCGCATCCTGATAAAAAAGATAAAAGTCTGCTTTGCTATCTAGGGTCTAACATCATCTGATCTTTCGACATGTTGATAAGAAGAAAGTACCGAGCCATCTCACTTCTTTGGAAGTATCCCTTCCCCATCTGATGTTCGTTCCAGAAGTTCTCGATGTCTCCCTCGTATCCCTGCCCACGTACACATCTCTGCACTGTTCTCTCAATTTCTTTCATTTCTCTTGAGTCTCCCAGGTGTACTCTAACTCATGGGCTAGGGCGGAAAGCCACACTTCATTAAAGCATGTACTGATCCTGAGGTGCTGGAGGAGCCAGAGGCAAAGTCAATGACAGAGTCAGATTGAAATGTCTCAGTTAGGCTGCAAGGCACGCACACACAGCCGGGGGCCAGGAGACATGGTTTTACCCAGGGGCTTGCTCTGCTAGGAGAGAGCCCTCATAATTAAAGCTACACAGATCATTTTTGGGAAAATCTCTCAAAGATGCAAGCTGATTTAACATTTTTGTTACTTACTGTATGTAATACCATCCAATTGTGTAGAAGAACCATCTTTATATTTGACTGAAAGAGCTTTCTTAAAGTGTTCTTATTCTAATTTTATATGAAGTAATAAAATCTTTCAAAACTTGCACTCTTAAAAGTTTCACAATTTGTTTGATCAAAGCCTGTAATGAATCTGTCAAATGTCATGAAAAGGGGGTCAAGATCTTACATATTTAGCCGTAAAACAAATCCAACAATTCATCAGTCTCATGACGAACACAAAAGACCTCTTCTTTCTTGAGCATAATGCTTTCAAACAATAATGTGTTTAATTAATGGTCTGTTTGGTGGCTTCTTCTGTCGAAGATGATTCATGAAGCTTTTAGTTCCAACACTCATACATGTTTGTGTTCTAGAGAACTTCTGAAAACGTGCCAGCTTATGTGCCAGTGCAAAGGAGGAAAAATCAAAAGAGGGGATAAAGCCACATAAGAGGAGGCTTAATTCAATGCTGCATGCATCCTATCAATAACTCAAATTCCCTCGGAATTTATCTAATAAAAAGCTGTTGAAGAAAAAATGGTTAGTAATATCAATCACTTTTTTCAAACAAATCTTGTCACTAGTGAAGTATATATCTCGTATATAAAAAATGTAAAAAGTCCTTTTCTAGTAATGCAACAACTCAGACTGAAAGTAAAATTTTTCAGCTGTGTTAAAGATTAAACACAGCTTTTTGATATTAACCCCATGCACAAATAGCTAAAGATATTCACACATCAAGTTTTAATCAATTGATATGGGATATTGATGCTTCATACCTCCTGGTAAGCTGATTGGGCCGCATCCTTTGCCCTGAGGGTCTTCTTTAACCATGAAGATGCTCTTTTTGCAAAGCCTCCAGAGGCCAAAATGGGCTGCCTCACATGTGGCATTGAGACGCTCCACCCGGGGACTCAGGACGGCCCAGTGGTCGGTTACCACTGCAGTCAGCATCGCAAGCATGCCGATGATTATCACCACAGATGTGATCTTGACCTTTGTCGCCTGCTCCTCGTACATATTGCTGCTCCTGGTGTGCGTGTGCCAAGCCTTGAGCGTGTGCGTTTGTGCACGTGTTTGTGTCAGCTGTGCGAGGGATTGCGTAGACCCTGTTAAAAGTTGCTCCTGTTCTTCTTAGTCTTCAGTCCTTGACAACCAACATTGCCTCAAGATGTTTTGTCGCCTTCACTACACCGCTGATGTCCTCTCTTGTGTCTCCTGCTCTTCAAGGCTCTTTTTCTTTCTCTGCCGTGTGCCTAGTGGTTGGTAAAAAGAGGCCAGATAACAGTGCCCTAGTTTTTGCCTCACTCCTCTCTTCCTCTCCCTCCTTGCTCGCCTTTAGTAAAGCCATTTACTTTAATGACAATGGTGTACTTGGATGCATTTATGCCATAACATGATAACTTCAGAGCAACACAATTTGGATTAGTGTTAGAGTAAGTTTTGGCTCTTTGTTCTAAGGCTTCAACATAGTTTGTGGATCCTGAGCGTTTCCCTGCAGCTGTAACAACATAAAAGGCATCAGATAGAAACAAATCCACATGATCTGACGCCATGTTCAATATTTCATTTATGCTCCAAAGCCTTTTTAATCCATCATTTAACTGGAACATTCTCTGTCATATCTACCCTCCTTCTTACTCTTATTTAGTCCAATCTTGTTCAATTGTCTAAGCGCCTAGTGTCATGGGACTCCTGAGGGGGGAGGATTCCCTTTATTAGTTGATGTCTGAAATGGCTGATCTACCTCCTCAGCCAATCATATATCAAGGTTTGAAACAAAAGACCCATCTGATGCCAGCAGCTGGGCCTAATTTTTATGACTGAAAAGGGGCTTTCATTTCGAACCTGTAGAGTCTCATATTTTCCTTTTTTTATGTAATTTTAGATTGCATTACAATTTTTATTTACCTGCACATAGATTAATCTAACCTGAGTATTTAGAAAAACAGAACTTTTAAGGGCAGCCGAGCTTTCCACAGTGAGCAGCCAGCAGGGGCTTAACCAAGACATATAATGTGCTTAAATTGTAATAGATCTGAAAAGCACAATCAACACCCTGCCAAAAAAAAAAACTCCTGCATAAATGGACAAGCTTTTTATAAACCACTGCGCCCCACTTTAGACAGGACTCTGGCCCATTTTCAGCTCTGACACCACTAACACAGCTTGGGTGGTTTTATACTTTAAACTTTGAGATATTTAAAGTAAAACATAGTTTAAGGAAAACACTCCCCATTTAATCTGACTGAACTTTAGGTATTTATCAAGGTAAATTGGGCAACATTCTCAGTGTCTGGGTGTCTAAGGCTGCTTGGGATATACCCCAAAAGACTAACACATAATAAGAGTTATGAAAACCATGCATCCTTTATATTCCCCTTCAGAGTCAGACCTGATGGTTGTGTTTAAGTACAAGAAGCATTTCAGCACTCCAATGTCATTTTGTTTGAGGAATCTTTTTTTATCGTTGTATTTTCTTTTTAAAAGGGTATATTTGTTTGTGTATGTGTGAAAAAATTGACCTGGAAAAAGGCATCTCAGAACTGCCAGATAACAATGGATCATGTTTCATCCAAAATGGTTCGTATAAAATACTCCTGACATTATCAAGCTCTGATGGATTATTAGAAAGACTTGTGTTCATCATCACAGTTACTTCTCCAGTACAGCTTTCTCCAGCCAAGGGCAGAGTCTTCACCATGGCAGTGAAAGTAACCACTCATCTTTTAGTTTGCGATAATAGTGTCTTTTGGTGTTGCCTGGCTTACCCCTTGACCTATGTCATTTGTTCACGGACTCCCTGTGGGTAGTGACGTTAGGGTCTCTGGGGTTCTGCTATTTTTTTGTTGTGAGTGTGCTGTCAGAGAGAAGATCTTTGCTGGTGGTTGGGCTTAACTATGTTGCTGCCCACCTGAGAATCTTTCTCAATCAACACGACTAGCATATATATAAGGAGGTGAAGGATCATCTCTTTTTGTTGGATGATTACCCTTGATGACAAATAGTGAACCTCAGTTTGTCTCTGATCTTCAAGGAAAAGACCTCACCTGTGTGCAGCAGCTCTCAGTCTTCATCTGCCTTCCCGCTCTACAATACGACATCTCTTGCAAGTACTAATGCTCTCTGATCTCACTCACACACACCTGGACCTTTGTGGTACAGTCTGCAAAGCCTGCTGAATCAAACCCCTACAGATCCACGCTACCTCTCCTTCATCTCACAAGTAATCAAATCAATCAGTCATCATCAACGAAGTCCTTCCTGATCAGTCTGCTTCCTCCCCTCAGACCAACCGACTTTCTGCAGTCTTCCACTTCCAGATTCTTGTTGCATACATAAATAAAACTTTAAAGTTTACTGGTTCTCCATGTGATTATGCATGTTGATCCAAAAACTAAAACCAACATGACAAGTGGTGAGAATGAACACCCTGGAGCTGTCTCTTAGCAACAGTCGAGGCTTTGGACAGTTACACACCACCCACAAGGTGAGGCATTATACCAAAGGGATCTAGTAGTGTCAGCCAAGTGGTAGGAGATGCGTAGAGAAACAAATATCCGATTTAGCAAATGTTTTTTTTTCTGCTGTCTGCAAGAAGACAAGTGCTTCATTTCTTCATGGGAACCGGAATGGATCTAAATGCAGATATTGTTTTATAGTGGCTGGAAGCCTCCCCGCCCTTGACAACTATTATCCCGCAATAAAACACAGCCTTAATTGGTAGCTAAATTTACCCTACGTTAGATTGCATAGCCTTTAGAGGTACCCAACTGTGCTCATTCGCTAATGACAGGCAACCCTTCTCTTATTAAATTAGACTGCACGTGCCCTGAGGCCATTTGTATGAGGATCTTGTCAGTCTACTTGTATAAAACAACAAGATCAATCATAGTGCATCCTCATTTAAGTGGCGGTTACCTCGACCATTTGTTCTTTGGACGCAAAGACTTCCTCTACCCATCTAAATGAGGCTGAGGTGATGTGGGATGGTGAATTGTGAGTAAATAAGGAGAGATTGAAAACAATTAAATTAGATGAAGATTACAAAGGGATGATGTAGCCCCTTGATTGCATTGCTACACTAGGCGTTTATATCACAGGATGATTTCCCTGGTTGGATTTACAGTTTAGATTCCTTGATGATTGAAATGAAATCTCATCGGAGTGATCATTCCCAATTTATGGCGTGGTTTTTAATTTTGACACAATACTATAGAGTAATTTTAATAGTTAGGACACAGTACGACAGCTGGGATCTTCTACATATTTTCGGGGGATGGTTTGTTGCAGCTAGACCTTGAAAGCTCACCATTGGTTCTGCTGTGTATCAGATGATGCTTGCATCATTATAATAATGTTCCCAAACGTCCCAGGAAATCCTCCTGATCTGTCTGAAATATAAGAAAAAAAAGGTCCTGAAAAATAAGAAATGTAATCTCTTGAACCAAGTCAGAATTTTTATCCCATTTAGACTGCTTCAGGGTGACAAAAAATAAAAATTGTGTTTCCAGGGAATCCCTCTCACATTCAAATATGAGTGAATGTTGCAAATTTATTCTAGCAAACAGTGGAAGAGTGTCCCTATTATTTTGTCTGCTAGAAAATATAATTTTCCAAACATAATTTGTTATATGAGGAACAATTTTAATTTTTAAGTGCACGTACATAGCTTTCCTTTTTGCAGGATAGAAATAAAATACAGTAAAATTAGACCCCGGTTTTATAACTTTCTTTATAAAGAAATTAAGATTTTTTCTATTTAGATTTAGATTTATTCTATTTAGACCTCTATGCAGATTTACTCTGTGACTGATATCATTTATAATGTATGGTGCATCTGCTGATTTATTTGCAAGGTTTATAGATTATTTTGATACAAAAAAAGAATAAATGAACTAAATGTTGATCAAAATATTCAGCTGCCAATATGAAATCATGAAACCCAATCAGATTTCCTGGTTGTGAAAGTTGCAGCCTCCAGTGTAACGGCGACTGGCTTCTTTCTTTGACAAACAATGTAAACTCTTCCACAAGGCAGAGGGTTGTAGCTGAAATTTAATGTTGAGAAACGCAGAAGGCATTCATAGCAGATGAAAAGGTCAGCCCCAAACATCTGTAAGCAGAAGTTTTCCATGGAAAGAAAAGCTCCACTAAGGTGCTGGAGCACAAAAACAGCAAATCCTGATCATGACTTTTTATACTTTGGGTTATTGATTGGGTTGGTAAGTAGGTTACCAGTCTATTCAAGCCAAATAGAAACAGGCAACCATTCTTGCAACTTCTCCCATATAAAGTCATATAATCTCATCACATAATGTTACCCATTCCTTTACATGTTATCCTATCTCTACTGCTGGCAGCCGAATATTTTTACAGAAAGACTGAAGCACCCTCTAATTGTCAATTCATCATCATTTGTCCTTACATGTAAGCAAAAACAATTTGTCAGGTTCCCCCCTTTACTCAATGCCAGTTGTAGCGTTCTGTACAATGTCACTGCAATTGTATTATATTTACATATTTAATTAAATACATAAATTGTGATACTACAAAATGGTAACTTAACAAGCTGACCCAGCTGACCAAAGGCAGAGTTGTCAACTTGTTAGCTGAGCAAGACACAAACACACAACTGCTTGAATCGGCTAATGTTTGTGTCCTCTATGAGAGGAAGGATTATTTACAGCTTGAAGGATACAAGCAGCATCTTCATGCATTGACGGAGAGGTGGGTTACTACCTAGCAGAGATGAGTAGTAATTAGTTACTTTACTCAGTTACATTTACTTTAATGAAAATTAGAAGTAAGTTTACTGCACTGTACGCCTTACTTTTACTTGAGTAATATTTTTATAGAGTATTACTACTTGAGTAAAATCTCTGACTACTCAGCCCTCTGTGAGAAATTTGAACTAATCCAAAATCAGATAAACATACAGTTAACAGCAGATATTAACAGTGGGAGTTTGTTACCTTGTCCTAACATATACACAGTTCTGAATGTATGGATTGGTTTTCTAAGTTTTATGTCGAAAAACAATTGTCTTCTGCACAAATTGGTTCCTTTATATTCATGACATTTATTTTTATTCTTTAGGCTCTTGGTTCTTTAAAATGCCAGGAATTGCACATAAAGTGTGCTTGCCAGCATCATTTATAAACATTTAATCTGATATTATTGTTAAGAGTAAAGAACATTTAAAGTAGTGCTACTCTTACTTGAGTACAATTTCTGGGTACTCTACCCACCTCTGCTACCTAAAAATATATCAAACCTTCTCAATGTATTGAATAAAGCCACGAAGAATTACAAGGACTCTTTTTTGTTGTAGAGTTAGAGAAAATATTTCAAAGTTGACTATTTTCAAATGTATAAATACTTTTTTTGGGGGTAAGTAGACCTAAGATCATCTCCAGTAAAGGAAATAAGAAACTTATGTCATGAATTCAGTAAACATATGGCTTATATTAATGGTGGGATATGTTTGGTTTAGTTTTTTTTTTTATATATAGATTTATTTTTTTTTATAGTAGGAAACTGGGCACTCCAAAAAAAGCTCCATCTACTCCCACCACCCACTGACATAACTTATGAACTTCTACCCCATATTTGTAAAAGAAACCAAAGTACAACCACACAATGACCCTGATTATGTTTATTTATCCAAGTACAGTATGTAGGGGTTATACATTAGTGAAAAATATTTTCTTTTGTTTCCTAAGAACACTGAAAATGGGAAAAACAGTAGATCATAAAAAGGCACTGATTTACCTTTACATTAAAGATTAGATTGGTGCTAAACACAAAGTGAACAAATGAACTCTTCAGTTAAAACAGGGAGCACATGTGTGAGCTCTGCTATGTTTTTTTTTTTTTACCTTCCTTTCTAATCCTCCAGATTTAAATGCTAATTGATGACAAGGAACAAAGTGCTTTATTATATAATAAGCCATAAATCGGTGTCAGCACACATAGTTAGATACAGCTGCCAGTCATACATGGAATGGACAATATAGTTTCTTCTCCTTAACATACTCACTGTACTTTACCTTACAAAACAAAATACATATAAGAATCACTGACTCATAACAGAAAATACTAGTTTTAGCAGAATATAAAAATGCTTGTTCATTGTCATACTTGTCAAGTTTAATTATTGAGACAATCTTAACATCAAATAATGCTTTGAATTTTCACATTGGCATGTTTTTTTAATTAATATTTTATTTACAACTTTACATTGCAAACATTACTTTTTCAGACTTAAATATAAAAGTGAAAGATGTACTTTCATGGCTTTTTTTTTTTTTTTTTTACATGTGCTCAGCTTGATAGTAGGGAGTGTCTCCACAAAGCAAAGAACTGGTCAACTGAGCCCGCGTACTCAGACAACACTCACAGTATTTACTAAAGAATTTAATGGCATTTTTGCTTTTCTTCAGTTATTTGTCTCAAAGTTCATCTCCGCCACCGATCCAGTTTCATATCACAACCATAAAGATGCAGGACTTAAAGCATTCAACCCGCCATGTCTTTGCTGCATTTCCTGAGAAAACTAACAGACAGAGCAGTCAGGAACCTGCAGGACAGCACATATCTCGTAAGTGAGGACAAATCCTTGGGAGACGCAGTTCCACACAACTCCCTCTGCTTCAGTGTGAGGCCTCTGTTTGATGAGGGAGAGGCTAGCCGGCCAGTTGAACGCACACACTTTGAGAGACAGACATGAATTCTCTGGTTGGCTCTGATAATAATCTGTTAAACACTCGATGCCAAGGCTCTGTTCAGAGCCAAAAGAAGTCCTCACATGTACTGTGTGTAGGTATGTGTGTTTTTCAAGCTGAAGCTCCCCTATGATCTTTTTGTCTTTCTTAATAGGCATCCATCTGAGATGGTGGGGGAACAATACCAGTGTCTTACACAGTTGCAACCACTTAGCACTTTTTAAAATTATGCCCCTTTCACTGACAAACTTCAGAGAGGTCAGTGATTACAGTGAAACAATACAGAGAAAAAATCTGCCTAAATACTAAACATTCAATACATCACAGTTTAGCAAGGATATAATACTGTAAAAACATTGGCTCTCTGTCAAGGCTGTATTTAGAGCATAACATGGGGTACAATGAGAAATTAGAGATAACGTCACATACAAATGGAACATTCAAGAGTATGTTTCATTTAGCACCATGTTGTTTGAATTGTAAGCATTGCTAAGCTCAAGGTTTCACTCTCAAGTTTAGCCACAAAGGGTAGGAATAATTATGCGAAACATTAAATGGGATTAACAGACTGCTCATATCTGAACAGCTCAAAATTAAAACTAGTTTTGAACTGGCTACAGCACAGACCTTGGTAACTCTCTTCTGCTTCAATGAGTTCTGATAACAAGTCATTTGCTCCTGTTTTTGTTAATGGCTTGTATTTTGTCTTTATCACTCCTTGTTTCCTTTTGGTTCTTTCAAAAAATGAAAAGACTCTCTCTCACATCACGGGCTGCTCCAGGACACTAGACTACTGATTATGCACTGTTCAGTCCAACCTTGAGCCTTTAATTTTCCAGCTCACACAGGCGTTGTCCTACGATTTACTCCGTCCTTTAGATCGTTTGGGAAACAGTTATGGACCTGCAGGAATTCAGAGCTGCCCTCATGTTCTGGGCTGTAAGTGTTTTCAGTCACACTGTCCCTTGCCAAAGCATACATGGACAGCTCATCCAAGTGCCCACTGGAAGACGGGGCCCCCTTCATACCAGCAACAGGGGAGTTCTCCCGAGAGGCCTCAGTGGAGTGCGAGCTTGCACGGGACGTCCGCCGGCGGTAGCGAAAGCTAGGTATTCTTGAGTATGGTGAAGAGGAGGAGAGTGAGCGGATGAACTCGCGCCGCGCCTTCCAGCGGACCTCCTTGTTCTTCTCAATGTAGATGTTGATGACAAGTACGGCGACTGTTTCAGCCACAATAAAAGACAGGGCGCCAAAGTAGAAAGACCAACCATAAGAGTAAGTGTACTTCTTGTCATCATCTCTTTTGTCACTAGGGTCCCCAGCATTGCTTGAGATGTAGACAATGATCCCGATGATGTTACTTAGACCTGATAAAAGGTAAATAGGAATAATTACTTACTGCCTAAAAAAAAAAACAATGACTTTTTACCAACAAGGAGGAAACCTATGCAGATATTTAATCAACCAACAATTGTAGGAGTATCCTTTATCTCTTAGTTTAGCCAATTACTGAGATTTGTGACCAACTGTAGTTAGGATCTATGAGTCCCCCATCAAGCTGCCTTCTTTTTATTTATATCCCAGCCCACATAATTGCAGCTATTTAAAAAGCATGACAACATGTGTAACGTTTCATTCATCTTACCTGCAGCTACAAAAAGTATGCCTGCACAAAGGAGTACATTGTTTGTCTTGTTGTAAAGTCGGCCTACACCAACACACAACCCACCGAGCATCAGTAGAGTTGTGCTCAGGATGGGGAACACACTTGAGGCCCGAACTATACCTGCAAAGAGATCAAAGAAGTTGGAATTGCATCAGATTATGTTGAATAAAATGAACAGTTAGGATTTCGGGTTTATGTGTATGCTAAAGCGCCTAGTAAAAATGCTTGGACCCTTTAGCTTTTTTTTTTTTTTTTTTTTTTACATTTTGTCATTTTATAAACATAAGATTCAAAATATTGTTGCTTACAGCATCATGCTTTCGAACTAACTTCTCCAGGGAAACAGTTCAGATTAAGTGTCTCAACTTTTAGTCTTCAGAGGTCAGAATCCTGCTTCATGAACCAAATGGATGAATTATCTCCTGCAGTCAAGTTCTGCAGATTCCAAAAAATAAGTTCATTTGAGTGGCAAGTTTAAGGAAACTGCACTTTAAGGACTGAAGTTTGAGACCTCTGGTTTACATCATATTTGGTAAAGAAGAATAAGCTGAATTTCTTGTCACACAAAGGTGATAAAGACATATCTCACAAAGCATACTGCTATAACTCCAGGAAAAACAAAACTCTTTAAAGCTCTTCGAAACCCAAGGAGGGTTGAATATAAATACAGTACACACTTCTGTTTTGTTTGAGAGAAAAGACGTATAATTTTCCTCTCTTTTCAAAATGTGAACATTGAATGACAATCAAGACTTTTGCAAAGCACTTTAGTGTTTGAAAATACTAATAGAATCTATAACTAATTTAGGATACCTAATCTATTCAATTCCACCCTGTTTCACTCCCATATTTGGAAAACTCCACATTGTTTATCCCCTGAATCCTTGTTGTGACAAAGCTTGGCTAATCAGTCGTGGGTTGCAATAAGAGTGCTCAATGAAAATTACTGTGGAAGAAATGAATCATTTTCCGCATACAAGGTTGGATGGGCTTTATTCAGTATTGTAGTCTTCTATTCAGCCCTCTTTTATTTGTCAGGCTAATGGAGGGAACCTGGACTGTGTCCAAAAAATGATAAGTTGTTATGTCCGTTATAGTGTGCAAGTCAGATACTGTTTCAGCTGTTATTTCAAAGAAGATACAAACTGAATATTAGTCGTGTATTAACAGTGGTATAAGAGATGAGAACACAAAAACAACCCATATTTCAATAAATGCATGAGAAAATTTTGGTTACACTGTGAATTATGATTTGTCTTCATCTTTTTTTGTATGTTAAGATTTTTATTTACCTTTTAAAATAAACACAGAGTGTGCCTCTGCAATTCACCCCTGTTGTGTAGTAAAGTCTCAAAGAAACTCACAAAGCTATCATGATTTTGGCTTTCCAAGAGTTTCATATTATATTTCCAGAACAGATAAACTCCTTATTCTAAAGAAGAGTAAAAAGTTCTCAAAAAAGCTTTTTGCAAGTTAGAAAAAAAAAACAAGACTGTAATACTAACTGACCCGAAATAAAAAAGCTTTAGTCCCATTTATCATAAGGTGAGAAAAATAGTCATGTGTGATCTTGCATGTTTATATTGTGATTAACATTATAGATACATTCGTCCTGACTGCCCGCACCTGTGTTTTTAAGATAGCTGCTAAGGTATGTCTAGAATCCTCTATGAACTCCAACATCCACATAGTCTTGTCATAGGCGTACTGCTGCTCATCCTGAGAAGTGCTGTCATCCTCCTACCTCATCCCCTCCAACCTGCTAGAAGGTGGTAATGTGGGGTGATCTCTGTGGATGGATGGCTGCTATTCTGGTGTAGAAATGAAGGTTGTTACTGTCAACATCTAAAGGTACAGGGTTTTTTTAATGCTTGTCTTTTATATAAACATGTTATAACATCCAGATCTGGAAAGATTTAGGGACATATGAACATTAGTCATATTAAATTCATAGGCCAGTGCTCTGTTATCGTTCAAAGGGAACATCAGGGGATAGCTTTCAAATAAACTTAATGTTTCATTAACTCTTTCAGAGACAGATTCAGGGGATATGTGTATGAAAATGTAACTGTTACTTCATGGGGATAGTGTAAGACCAATTTACAAGGAATATGCTACATTGTGGAGACTTAGAGGTACTTGTGGGGACCCGCTTACTGGTCCCAATAAGGAAAGTTTCTCTTCTTGGTTTAGGGATTAGGTTTAGGACTAAGGTGTGAATTGAGTTCTGATGAGTGAATGACTAAATGTTTTTTAAATGGCTTTGGTAATCTCATGCCTTGAAAAAGCACTATATATATGTACAGGCCATGCAACACATTTGGGTATGTGTTTGTTACGGGTAGGGTTAGGGTAAAGGTCTGGATTAATTCATACAAATGAGTGCTAAATGAATGGAATTCAATGCAAAGTCCTCATAAGTATACTGGGACATACAGTAAAATATGTTTGTGTTTTTTTATGTGTTTGTGTGCATCAGGAGGTTGGTGATTAAGGTAGAAAAAATGTATATATCTATATATCATTTGCAATATTTAGGTTAATCTTGAAGTAACATGTTATTTTAATTCGTTAATAGAGATCTGGCAAGAAAGGTGCAAAAAACATTTCAAAGTTGTTGAGTTTTTTTCTTAAGTAACATTAGAAAACTATGATGATTGAAAATCAATTAACTGTTCTTACTTTCAATTGTTTAGTGTTTCCAAGCCATGCGGATTTAATTAGAACATAAATTATTGTGCATTAACAGATTATCATGAGATATCAACTCTATTTCATGACAACCAGAATGTATATTAATAAAAAAGACCAAAAATCGACATGTTTTGGCCTGTTTTTAAAATCGGGTCTATGAATAACTATCTTTAGGTAATAGGTTAGACTTTAGATAGTAGGTTGAGTGAGTTATACTTACGCAACAGATACTCAGAGCTATCTGTGTCATAGTCGTTGTCATCAGGAAAGTGGTTGATCCTGTAACAGCTGCCTTGATTGATCCCTACAGCACAAAGTAATGAGAATGAGTCTCCAGTCAGAACAATAACCACAACATTTCAAAAGGGCAAAATGTAGGTAACATATTATATTTGGATGTGAAGTTAGTTTAGCATTTATTAAAATTTCTTGTAAATTAATATTTAAAGCCTTGGAAAAATCTCTCATTACTTTTAATAAATAAAATCCTCCTTTTATGTAAATTCTTTTACAGAGATATAATCAGACAAAATTGTTTTTAACAAAAATACAAAACTTGCACCCCTAAAATTATATTTTAACTTTTTTTTAATCATAACTTCAATTTCTAGTTTCATAAGAGTTCCTGTCAAGTACTAATTTATGACTTTATGTAAATTGGTCACTCTTTCTTGTAGCAACAGGTCATGGTGCATGTGGAACCCCCTTTTTAGACAAAAAAAAAGAAAAAAGATAAATGGAGGTTGTAACAGTAACTTAAAGGTTGTTTCTAGCTCAGTAGCTGGCTACCTTGACGGTGAAGTGGCAGGCATTCATTGTGGTCAACAGTGTCAGTCTGGAAAAATGAATCGCATGTCTATCAGTTCGTTTTTGCTATTAACATTCCATAACACAAACGTGATGAAAAAAAAACTGAATTGCTTCTGAGCATGTTATATGGGGTCTACAGAGATGCAAATTGTTCCTTTTTTGGCTCTGGGTTTGTACAGATCAGGGATGTAGGATCAGTCGTGATGATCCTTTGTTCAGAAATGTTTGTTACAGTTCAAACCTGTCCTGTTTTAGATAAGTGAAACCACACAGAGGTGATTGTGCACAAAACAGACTCATGGCTGAGTAGTAGGTGACCAAAAATTTCTCTGGAAGATTGTATTTCATGATTGCCATAGGAAGAACAGTTCCTGCTTGATCCTCTCCTTGTGCTCCTCCTTTTGTCGCAGCTGAGACCAATGACAAGAGTTTTAAGAGAGTTGGAGAGAGAACACACCTGTGGAGGACTCCAGTCTTAGAAGTTCTAGTTGCTTCATAGCCTAGGTGAAGGTGGGTGTATGGTGTGAGCTGAATTCCACTAAAACAGGAAGATGCTGCATTGCCAGTGATGCTGATGTTTAATGACAGGTAGCAATGCAACATTGGTGTCAATTAAATAAATAACAATTTCAAATCCACCGATATATATATATATACACAAACCTGAAAAACAATAGAATATTTTTTTTATAGTTTATCTTTCACAATTGAAGGCCAGAGCACAAAAAACATAAAAAAGAAACAGGATATACATGAACTCACTGCTCTGAGTTATCAGGTGTAGGAAACACATTTTCTCTTGATTTAAGTGGGTACATAGGACAGATGAACAAAGATTTGCATTTAAATTATGTAAAAATCACTAACTCTATTATCTTATTTTAATCGCATAGTATGTAAAATCTTATTTTAAGGTTAGAAACTTTCATTCCACTGACAGAGCATCTAATTTTTCCTGGCAAATTTTACGGTTAAATAGAGGTATTTTTCAAAAAATAGTACATATTTTCAGGTAATTTATTGCTGTACAAGTTGTTTGTCAATAAACACGGAAATTTAAAATGCAACTTCATCTACACGCCACACTTTAAATTAATAGAACCTTATTAAGTATTCTTTTACAAATTGTGATCATTTGGCCTTACGTTTAGCCTAATAATTGCCCTTAAATGAAATTTCTAACAGACAAAAGTTAAATTGATTGCAGTAGATGTCGAAAGAAAAGACATGAGTTAAATAGGTGTCATCAGGGATTCCCTGCCTTGACAGGGACCATAATAGCTAACCAATAATTACATCTATGAGATGCTTAAATTTGTTAAATTTTCCTTGGCACCTGGTAGAGGTCATTAAAGACAAAGGTAAATACGCTTGTTTAGTTACCTGGATACTTAGCTGTCCCTTCACCAGGGCAAGGCTCTATTGAGGTGATGCTGCATGTCTCGTGGAGCAAAATTACTAAAATTTAGACCTTGTGTTTGATAAGCTTTTAAATTCACAAACGGTATTTTTGGACAAAGACTAAAATAGGAAATAGAACAAAAAAATATTTCAGGAGGGCATTTTTTTGTCCAGAGGGGATAAGGGCAGGTGCACTAGCACCACCTAGTGTCTTCACGTCCCTGTGCATGTCGCAGGGTGATTATGATGTTGCAAGATGAAGTGCAGGCCCAGAGTATCCTCTGTCAATCTGTTTGCACAGTATGATCATTTTAGGGCAGGGGTGTGATCTCTTGAACTTCAGCTAGGATAAGTCATAGGCACTCCAGGTATGTTACAATGATGGATTTGCTGGAAAGCCATCAAAGTATTTTTAGAAAACCTTTGGGGTAAACTGGGAATTAACCATAAGGGATGACAGAGGACTCTGGAAAGATTGTAAAAAGAAGAATCATTAAGCATCCCTTCCTCTGTATGCGTCGACCTTGTGAAAGTCACAGGAGAAAGCTACATGTGTGCTGTCCTACTGGCAGTGGTGGTTTTTGCATTGATGGTGCCATAAATGCAGGAGGTAATCTTAAATTCTCAGGTGGGATTAAATGCAGCGCAGTCTCACATAAAGCACATAACCTCATCCCCCTACTGTCAGCATCATGTTTTCATGCATAGCAGTATGAGGAAAACTGACAGATGAATTCCACTTAATGTTTTGCAAACTTTTTCACATTCTCCTTTTATTTTGCTCTTAGCATCCATCTACTTATATTGCCCATAGCCAAAGCCACTACCACCTATTGACAGAAATTGTTTGCACAATCTAATAACAGCAAATGGCATTTAACCCATCCCCTTGGGGA